TCTTTTGCTGTGTACAATAAGTTTTTATAAAAGGAGGGCTAGTAGAATGTATTGAAACTGTATATATATATGTATGTATAATTTTCTACACAATTTTCTACACAGCCATTCAACTTCATAGACAGTGACTAAGGAAATAAACAGATACGTAAAGGCATACAGAGAGATGTTCATTGTACCTTTTTTTTTTAAGATTTATTTATTTTAGAGAGAGAGCACACAAATGGGGGAGGGGCAGAGTGAGAGAATTTCAAGCACACTCCCCGCTGAGTGTGGAGCCCAACCCTGGGCTCCATCCCGTACCCTGAGATTATGACCTGAGCGGAAATTGAGAGTCTCACAATCAACCAACTGAGCCACCCAGGGGTCCCTGTAGTACTTTTTATATTAGCAAACATTGGAAGTAAAAACTGCTGAGTAGTGTATTTTTAAATAGATTGTGAGTATGGTAGGATATTTTGCAACCATTAAAAACCATGTGGATTTAATTACATTGACTAAAAAGAAGTTTATAAACTGTCTATAGGTAGAATTCATAAAACTATAAAATTAAAAATGTAATCTACACCGTAGGAAAAATGTGTAGGTTATATGCCAACACTGGTTATTTCTTTATGGTGGGTAAAAGATGTTTCTTAATATTGTAGGTTTTTCAAATTTTATAAGTAAACATAACTTTTATAATCTGAAAAAAAGTTTTTTGAAGATGAACTAAGGAAACAACCTTAGGATTGGAACAAAGATGAGTAATTGGGATTCTGGAGAACTCTCCTCAGCCCATGAAATGCCTTGGCAGCTTAAGACCTGGTTTCCTCAAGATGTGAAGCAGAATTTTATCTCAGTTTTTTTTTTATTTGCCTGACAACTGGCAATATTACTGGGTCTAAGAGAAGAGAAAATGGGAGCATGAATTGAGCATAAGGGGACAGATTTTAATGAATTTCCCCTTGCTCACCAAACATTTAGCAAAGCCAGGATTTGAGGACACAAAGACAGGAAATAATGGAAGGAGCTCAAAAACAGAATTTAGACTGAAGGCAGTGCACATCCAGTGAAGAAACACAATCATAATAGCCAACATTTATAATGTACCAAGCCCTGTTCTGAGCAGTTTGCATATATTAACTTACTCTTGAGTAATCCTGTGAGGTAAATACTGTTATTTGCAGAGGTGAACAGCAAGGACTCTGGAGCCGGACCACCCGAGGGAGAATCTTAAATCCATCACTGCCTAGCTTTTGGATCTTGGGCAAGTTACTTAAACTCTCTGTGCTCAGCCTCCTTATCTGGGAAGCTGGGCAAGTTACTTAAACTCTCTGTGCTCAGCCTCCTTATCTGGGAAGCTGTGGACAGTGCTAGACCCAGGTAGGATTGTTCTGAAGGTTGCAAATCATAGTAAGTGGTGTTTCTTAAATAAAAATAAATTTTAGGAAACATCCTCAGTTTTGTAGCTGAAGAAACAGGTACAGAGGTGTTTGGCCGTTTGGCCCCAGGCACAGTAAAAGTAAGTGGAGGTGCCAGAAGTTGAACCCAGGCAGGGTGACCTCAAGAGTTCCTGCTCTTGATCCTTAATGATGTGCCAAGTGAGGGTAGTCTCAGAAGAAAGCATCTTGAGAAGAGATTGGTGAGTTGAGTCCTGTTGGATGAGAAATAGTTCCCCAGACCAAGGGGAGGTGGGGTATTGAAGTAGAGCTCTGACGAGGAGGGAGTTCTGTGAGCAAAGGAATGAGGCATGAAATAGAATGGCAGACGAGGGGCGGGGTGAGGTTGGGTATTACTGGAGCCTAAAGTGGGAGGTTGATAATGATAGGAAGTGAGGCTGGAGAGGGTCAAGAGCCAGGTGTGTAGGAATTTGTTGTGCTCAAATACCTATCAGGTCTTCTGGATGGTGAGGGTATAGGCAGGGTAAGACTGGAGGCGGGGAGAGCAGTAAGCAAGCTATTGAAAAAATCTTAGAAATTTGGATCTGGACTCTTAACTAAAGTTGTTAGCAGTTAAGATTGGAAAAGAGCAGGGACAGATTTGAGAAATAAAGGAAGTAAAATTGACAAAGTTGGAGATTTGATTTGGGAAGTCAGGGGTGTTACTAGTAGAGAATACAGTAAAAAGACTTTTTTTTTTTTAAGATTTTATTCATTTGACAGAGTATAAGCAGGGGGAGGGGCAGAGGGAGAGGGAGAAGCGGCCCTGAGCCAAAGGCAGACACTTAACCTACTGAGCCACCCAGGCGTCCCAAGACTTTTTTTTAATGGAAATGTACTGAGTTTGAGGAAATTATAGCAGGCAGTTATAAATTTGGTGAATCTGAAGGCAGGTTGAAAAGCTCAGAACTGAAGATAAAGATCTGGGAGTTAAATCATGCTTTTAGTAAAATTAGCCCAAACCACATCTTTGTATTTCTTCACTTTTTCAACAAATTGGGTCTGTAATGTGCCAGGCACTAGGGTACCCGCAGTAATGACCTGATAGCATGCTTAGTGAGGTGACTTGTTCACTCCAGGGTCCTCAAGGCCACGTAGAGAACATACTGGAAACATTTGTTGACTCTTTCAAACTTGAGTTACTAACACAGCTGCACTGATAGTTGTTTTTTGGGTTTTGTTTTTTTGGGGGTAGAGGGGTGGTTTACAATTGCCTTTTGCAGAAGTTTACATGGAGGGCAGACACTGTATGCCTTGACGATTCAAGGGTCTCTAGTGCATTTGGCTCTTTTTTAGAATTAAGGGTTTAAAATAAGTGGGTGGGGTGACCCTAATCTCTTAAGAAGCTTTAGGAATTTTCAACTCACTTGAAGAGGTTTTCTTTTCCCCCTTATAAAGTCATTTCCATTAACATTTGAAGTTCTTAATAAAAATATTACCTATGAAAAATTGGGGAGCAAGACTTTTAAAATCTAGCCCTCTTGTAATTTTATGTGTACCTTTTCTCTTCTAATATATACTAACTTCTTAGGCCCGCCTCTAGGGAATCTCAAGAGCCTGAGTGTTTTTGTGTTGAGAGGAGAGGGGAAACTTTTTTCACTTTGGTCAGAGTGGAGAAGTGTGATACATCAATGACATTGGTGTTCTCGTATACTTGCTTCAGTGCTAACCCAAAGAACCTCGAATGAGTAGTGAAAGCATTGATAAAAGGATTTGATATTCAAAAGTTTTGAATGTGCAAGGCATCAAGTGTGATGCAATGGGAACCTGCTGTAAAAGAAAAAATTTGAAATGAAAAAAAGCCCCTAAGGGAACCAAGAATGGAAAGGGCTGGCTGCTTGCTGAAACGGTGAACTCCCTCCCTCTGAGATGCAAAGAAGGGGGGCTCAAGGATGCTGTTGGAAGCACCCCAGCTCTGGGTGAGCAGTCCTTAATTTGTCAGTGTTTTTTTTGATGGTTTTGCATTGACTACTCATTCTTGGACTACTTTGGCATGCACTGCTCTCAATTTTCTGAACTCCAGTTGTTTTTGTCAAATCAAGATTACACGATCCAATTTCACAATAAAATAAAATTTTCTAATTGGATTGTAAGCTCCTCAAAGACAGGGATAAAATAAAATCTTTTGAACACCTATAGGGTCAAGTTTTGTGTCAGGACTCTTCATTCTTGATTGATGAATCATATTGAGCTTTCCGTTTCCATGTGTTTTTATTCAGAGATAATGGTTTCCAATTATATTACTTTAAGAAACAAAAGACAAAATGTTCTAGATGTGTCTTTTTTATTTAGGAAGCATGAAATATTTTCTTGAAATATTTCATTCTTCTTTTGAACATTTTCATTGGTATAAATTCGAAGGAACAATATAGTTCCAATTCTTAATAAGCATCAGCTGAAAAAGGCCAGTCTCGTTGTTGAGAGTTATCTGTAGGAAAGCCATCATTTAAAAAGTAGTAAACCAGGGAGCTATTGAGGAGTTTTATTATAGTTTTTTTTTTTTAATGAGGCATTATGGGTCTTTATACCCTTTTCACAATGAATGCTTTATTTCATAAGTACATATTTTTGAAGGCTTCAAAGATGAATAGCTTTAAAAGAAGAGTCAGATTACTTTTGTCTGTAGATGTGCTGAAAATTAGTTTTTGGCTTAGACTTCTGATTTAGAATCTATGTACCTGTAACAATTGATGGTAGTATCACAGGTGATACCAGCTAACTGAAATTCTGAATGCCATTGGATACTAATTTGGTTTCTCAAGTGCAGATGTAGAGGATGGTAGTGAAATTATCAACAAAGCTTTTTCTCAGAAACATTCGAAATTAAATCTGTTTGGGGATGATCCAGTACCATTTGTGCTAATGGCAGGAATTAAAATTTTGACCTCTTAAATTGTCAACCCATTTCCTCCAGAACCAGGACCCTTGTATACCCTCCTAAGTTTGAGCCTTGGTCAGTCTTTGTTAGTGTGGAAATTCAGTGTGCACTAGTTGCACGTATGGTTGTTTATAAGTGAGGATTTAGAAATTAAGGTATACAAAATTAAGATTTACCATAAAGATGCAAATCTTCTAAACATCTAAGACCTGCTTTTCAAATCTGTATAGAATGCCCTCCCTATTTTAAGAAAACACTTGTTTTCTTAGAGGTGATTATTCATATTATAAAATATGTCCAGTACTTAGAAACCATCATTTCCTGTGCTAAAATTATCCACATATAGTCTTACGATAAAACTTCTAGATAAGGACGCCTGGGTGGCTCAGTCGGTTAAGCGTCTGCCTTCGGCTCAGGTCATGATCCCAGGGTCCTGGGATCGAGGTCCACATCAGGCTCCTTGCTGAGCAAGGAGCCTGCTTCTCCTTCTGCCTGCCTCTGTCTCTCTCTCTCTGATAAATAAATAAAATCTTTAAAAAAAAAACTTCTAGATAAAATTCAACATGTAAGTGAGTTGCACCTATACTCTACTTTGGTGGTTATTACCCAGAATCACGAAGTCAGTTCCTAATCTAGTATGTATTTTGTGGATTGGACAATAATATTTTAAAAAATAAACCTTTATAAAATATTTGTTTCAGAGCCCAGTGATGTGACTCTAAAAATTTACCGAGCGGAATCATATGCTGGTCTCCAGGAGTTTAAAGCAGCCATAGAAGATTTAAATGCAGTTCTCTTTCAACTGCCAAATTGGCCGGAGGTAAAGTTACTGTTTTACATTTACCTGCATTTAAAAATTTCACCTGTAGGGGACATGCATTTCAGTTATGGTTATAAGTTTTAACAAAATAGATTTCTTGACTCTTTAAATAAAATATATAGAGTTCTAGAAGTCTAGGGTTAGTATTTTGAGTGGATGGCTATCTAATAATTTTTAAATCATAAGAAGCCTTTGTTTCCTAACTAAAGAACAACCTGAATTTAAGGCACAGAGGAAAAAAAAAAAATAAGAGACTTGAGTATGCAAAATTTCCTCAAAGAGATGAAACTGGTCCCACTGGATCCAAACTGAAAATTGTTGGAGGAGGTACACTGAGGGAAAGAGAGGAGGTCCTTCAGAAGTTGGAAAATGGGGACCAGATGAGGCAGTGATTTAATACAGTAAATGGGGACAAGGGAGGTTGCCTTGCCCATGCGCTTTTAAAAAAGACTTGAGGCAAATATATGTAATCAGTTTACTAATTTTTTATCAAATTGCCAAGGTAAATCAGTTCATGTCCCGTATATGTTCTTTAAGCTCGAAGTTACTATTTTGTATGACTTTTTCCCCATTTGAAACCATGCCTTTGAGGACAATATAGTAAGCATGCTCTAAAAATTATAAATTAATATGAAAAACAATACCAAATCCCATGCTGGCTTGACTGGTTAGTACAAGGCAAATGTATATTAAGAATAAGATGGAAAACGATCTGTATGGACAGTTTTAAAACTGTTAAAAAAGAAAGAATCCTCTGGATTTATTACTCAAGTGATAGAAATATGGTTTTGAGTCGTTTTTCCATAAGTGCTTCTCCAGGCAAGTGTGTAAATATACCTTTGAAATGCTTTAGGTTTCTCAGAGTCATTCAGAGTTTCAAAATGCACATTTCCAAGCAAACCATTTTTTTTCTTGATACTGATTTTTCTCAAAAATAATTCTATCAGTAAAAGTTGTGTATTTGTGCTTTCATTGAAGGTCTACTTCAGGAAAGGAAAAGTACTCCAGGATGCTGGTTTTTTAGGTGATGCCTTACAGCTGTTTCTTCAGTGCTTAGCCCTTGATGAGGATTTTGCACCTGCAAAGCTAGAAGTAGAAAAGGTAATCAGTTTACCAGTTATAATCACTGAAGGCAGGTCTAAGACACAGGTCTTTTTAAAAATGCTAATTAGAAACTTGGGGTAAGAACATAAGGAGTCCAGTGAGTCAAATTTAGTAGCAGTTTGACAAGTGGGTTTTCGGGGTCATATACTTAGCGTATAGAGTTTTTACCGAAAGCAAAAGATTTCATTTGCAGATATTTAAATGTGTTATTTTTGCTTAAATTTAGGTGTTTCCTACTAGTTTGTTTGGAGCCAAACTAATCATCCTTAATTGTTATCATGATATTCCTGCTCAGAAATTATTTGTTTTTATTAAAGCAAAACTGGTATATAACATTATATAAGTTTCCACTTACAACATTATGAGAGATCACCACTAAAAGGCTATTTACCATCCGTCACCATACAGGTGCTGTCTTCCCCCATTTCACCCAACCCCCTTCCTCTTTGCTAACCACGAATCTGTGAGTTTTTGTTTTGTTCATTTCTTTTTTGTTTTTGTTTTAGATTCCACGTATGAATGAAATCATACCATGTTTATCTTTTTCCATCTGACTTATTTCACTTAGCATAATACCTTCCTGGTCCATTCATGTTGTCACAAATAGCAAGATAACTTTTTTTTTTTTTCTGGGCTAAGTGGTAGTCCATTGTGTATGTATACCATATCTTTATTCATTCAACCATAGATGGACATTTAGGTTGTTTCCATTTCTCAGCTATTGTAAATAATGCTGCACTGAACATAGGAATGCACACGTCTTTTCAAGAAATCAGTGTATTTGCATTCTGAAGATAAATACCCTGAAGTGGAATAGCTGCTCAGTATAGCTCTATTCTTAATTTGTTGAGGAATCTCCATACCGTTTTCCATAGTGGCTTTACCAAGAACAGTACAGGGTCCACTTTTCTCCACATCCTCTCCAAGCCTTGTTATTTCTTGTCTTTTTGATAATAGCCATTCTAACCATTATGAGATGATACCTCATTGTGTTTTAGATTTGTATTTCCCTGATTAGTGATGTTGAACATCCTGTTATGTTACTGTTGGCCATCAGTATGTCTTCTTTGGAAAAAATGTCTATTCAGATCCTCTACCCATTTTTTAACTAGGTTGTTTTTTTGTTGTTGAGTTGTAGGAGTTCTTTATATATCTTGGATATTAATCCCTTACCAGATACATGATTTGCAAAAGTCTCCCATTCAATAGGTTGCCTTTTTGTTTTGATGATGATTTCTTTTGCTGTGCAGAAGCTTTTTAGTTTGATGCAATCCCATTTGTTTATTATGGCTCTTTTCCTTGCCTTTGGAGTCAGATTCACAAAAATACTGCTAAAACCCATATTGAGGAGCTTACCACCTATGTTTTCTTCTAGGAATTTTATGGTTTCAGGTCTTTTATTCAAGTCTTTAATCTATTTGAGTTAATTTCTGTGTATGGTGAAAGATACTAGTCTAGTTTCATTTTTTTGCATGTGGCTATCCAGCTTTCCCAGCACCATTTTTTGAAGAGACTTATTTCTCCATTGTATGTTCTTGGCTCCTTTGTTGTAAATTCATTGTCTATGTATGTGTCGGTTTAATTCTGGGTTCACAATTCTGGTTCATTGATGCATGTGTGCATTTTTATGCCATTATCATACTGTTTTGATTACTATAGCTTTGTTCTGTAGTTTGAAATCAGCATTGTTCTCCTTTCTCAAGATTGCTTTGGGTATTTGGGATCTTTTGTGATTTTCTACAATTTCAGAATTATTTGGTCTAGTTCTATGGAAAAATACCATTGGGATTTTGATAGGGATTACACTGAATCTGTAGATTGCTTTGGGGAGTATGGACATTTTAACAATAGCAGTTCCTCCAATCTATGAGCATCCCTGGAATAAATCCCATTTGATCATCATGTATGAACTTTTGCTATATTTTTAAATTTGGTTTTCTAATAATTTGTTGAGGATTTTTGCATTAATGTTAGTCACTGATAATGGCCTGTACTTTTCTTTTTCTGTGGTTTCTTGTCGGCTTGCTGGCCTCAAAATTATTTTGGGAGTGTTCCTTTTTCAATTTTTTGGAAGAGTTGAGAAGGATAGGTATTCAATCTTTGAATGTTTGATAGAATTCACCAGTAAGCCATCTGGTCCTGGACTTTTGTTTGTTGGGAGGTTTTTGATTACTGATTCAATCTTCTCACTAGTAATTGACTATTCAAGTTTTCTGTTTCTTCATGATTCAGTCTTAGGACTGTATGTTTCTATGAATTTATTTCTTCTAGGTTGTCCAGTTTGTTGGCATATAATCCTTTATATTTTGGCGGTGTCAATCATAACATTTCATTTCTGATTTTATCAGAGCCCTCTTTTCTTTTTTATTTGACAAGGGTTTTTTTTTTTTACCTTTTCTTCTAGTATAATTGACATACAGTGTTACATTAGTTTCACATGTACACTGTAGTAGTGATTCAACAGTTCTACACATTACTCAGTGCTTACCGTTTTACATGTATTCTTAATCCCTTCATCTATTTCACCCATCCTCCCACTCACTTCCCCTCTGGCAGTAACCCATTCTCTATATATAAAGAGTCTGTTTTTGTTTCTTTTTTTCTTTGTTCATTTGTTTTGTTCTTTAAATTCCAGATATGAGTGAAATCATATGGTATTTATCTTTCTGTGACTGACTTATTTCATTTAGCATTATATCCTCTAGATCCGTCCATGTTGTTGCAAATGGCAAGATTTCATTCTTTTTTTATGGCCGAGTAATATTCCATTGTGTATATACACCTCTTCTTTATCCATTCATATGTTGCTTCCATAGTTTGGCTATTGTGAATATTGCTGCAATAAACATAGCGTGCATATATCTTTTCGAATTAGTGTTTTTTTTGTTTTCTTTGGGTAAATACCCAGTAGTGGAATTACTGGATCATACGGTATTTCTCTTTTTAGTTTTTTGAGGGAACTCCACAAAGTTTTTCACAGTGGCTGCACCAGTTTGCATTCCTCCCATAGTGCATAAGTGTTTCTTTGTCTCCACATCCTGGTCAACACCTTTTATTTCTTATGTTTTTGATTGTAGCCATTTGACAGGTGTGAGGTGATATCTCCTTGTGGTTTTGATTTGCATTTCCCTGATGATTAGTGATGTTGAGCACCTTTTCATGAATCTGTTGTCCATCTCTCTGTCTTCTTTGGAGAAATGGCTATATATGTGCTGTCCCCATTTTATTTGGATTATTTTTGGGGGGTGGTGAGTTGTATAAGTTCTTTACATATTTTGGATATTAACCTCTTGTTGGTGTATTATTTGCAAATATCTTCTCCCATTCAGCAGGATGTCTTTTGTTCTGTTGATGGTTTCTTTCACTGTGCAGAAGCTTCTTATTTTGATGTAGTCCTGATAGTTTATTTTTGCTTTTGTTTCCCTTGCCTCAGGAGACCTACCTAGAAAAATGTTGCTATGACCAGTGTCAAAGACATCATTGCCAGTGCTGTCTTCTAGGATTTTTAGTTTTAGGTCTCACATTTAGGTTTTTAATCCATTTTGGAATTTAATTTTGTGTACGGTGTAAGAAAGTGGGGGGAGAAAAGGTGGTCCAGTTTCATTCTTTTGCACGTAGCTGACTAGTTTTCCCAATACCATTTGTTGAAGAGACTTTTTCCTATTGGGTATTCTTTCCTGCTTTGTTGAAGATTGATTGACCATATAATTGTGAGTTTCTTTCTGGGTTTTCTATTATGCTCCATTAATCTATGTCTCTGTTTTTGTACCAATACTGTACTGTTTTGATTACTACAACTTTGTAATATACTTGAAGTCTGGAATTGTAATGCCTCTAGCTTTGCTTTTCTTTTTCAAAATTGCTTTGGCTATTTGGGGTCTTTTATGGTTCCATACATATTTTAGGATTGTTTCCAGTTCTGTGAAAAATGGTGTTAGTATTTTGATAGGAATTGCATTAAATCTGTACATTGTTTTGGATAGTACAGACATTTTAACGTTTGTTCTGCCAGTCAGTGAGCATGGAATGTCTTTCCATTTCTTTGTGTCATCTTCAGTTTCTTTCATCATGTTTTATAGTTTTCACAATACAGGTCTTTCACCTCTTTGGTTAGGTTTATTCCTGGTACCTTATTGTTTTTGGTGCAACTGTAAATGGGATTGTTCTCCTAATTTCCTTCTGCTGCTTCGTTATTAGTGTATAGAAGTGCAACAGATTGCTACACATTGGTTTTGTATCTTGCAACTTTACTGAATTCATTTATCAGTTCTAGTAGTTTTTTGGTGGAGTCTTTAGGGTTTTCTATAGAGGGTATTAAGTCCTGCAAATAATGAATTTTAATTCCTCCTTACCAATTTGGATGCCTTTGTACCTTTTTCTTACCTGATTGCTGTGGCTAGGACTTCCAGGACTAAGTTGCATAAAAGTGGTGAGAGTGGACATTCTTGTCTTGTTCCTGATCTTAGGTGGAAAGCTCTCAGTTTTTCACGACTGAGTATGATGTTACCTATGGGTTTTTCTTATATGGCCTTTATCATATTGAGGTATGTTCCCTCTAAACCTACTTTAAGAGGTTTTATCATGAATAGATGTTCTACCTTGTCAAATGCTTTTCCTGCCTCTATTGAAATGATCATATGGTTTTTATCCTTTCTCCTATTGATGTGATATATCACACTGATTGATTTGTAAGTATTGTCCACCCTTGCATCCAAGGAATAAATCCCATGTGGTCATGATGAATGATTTTTTTAACGTGCTGTTGGATCCTGTTTGCTAGTATTTTGTTGAGGATTTTTGCATCTGTGTTCATCAGATGCAAACTGGCCTATAGTTTTCTTTTTTTGTATTGTCTTCATCTGGTTTTGGTGTCAGGATAATGCTGACTTCATAGAATGAATTTGGAATCTGTCCTTCCTTTTGGTTTTTTGGAATAGTTGAGAATAGATATTAATTCTTAGTTAAATGTTTGGTTAAAATTCCTCTCTGAAGCCATCTGCTCCTGGACTTTCGTTTGTTGGGAGGTTTTTAATTACTGATTCAATTCATTGCTAGGAATTGGTCTGTCCAAATTTTCTGTTTCTCCCTAATGCAAGAGCCCTTGTTTTTCTTTTTAGTCTTGACATTTGTCAGTTTTATTAATGTGTTCAGTGACCCAGCTCTTAGTTCTTTGATCTTCCCTCTTTTTGTCTGTATTTCATTTATTTCTGCTGTGATCTTTATTATTTCCTTTCTTCTAGGACATTGGGCTTTGTTTTTCTTTTTTCTAGCTTCTTTAGGTATAAAGTTAGATTATTTGAGATTTTTCTTATTTCTTGAGGTAGACCCCTTAGAACATCTTTTGCTGCATCCCAAAGATTTTAGTACATTGTACTTCTGTTTTCATTTGTCTCTAGCTATTTTTTTTTTAATTTCTTATTTGATTTATTTGATGGCCCATTTGTTGTTTAGTAGCATGTTGTTTAATCTCCACATTTGGGGTTTTTTTTTTTCTTCTCCTTGTACGTAATCGTTAGTTTCATACCATTGTGGTTGGAGAAGATGCTTGATATGATTTCAGTATTCTTTAACTTGAGGCTTGTTTTGTGGCCTAACGTGATCTATTCTGGAAAATGTTCCATGTGCACTTGAAATGTTTGGATGCAATTTGGATGCAGTGTTCTGTATATATCTGTTAAGTTTATCTGGTCTGCTGTGTCATTTAAGGCCAATGGTTCCTTGTTAATTTTCTGTCAGGATGATCTGTCCATTGATGTAAATGGAGTGGTGAAGTCTTTCATTATTATTGTACTACTGTCAGTTTTTCCCTTTATATTTGCTTTATATATCTTGGTGCTCCTATGTTGGGTGTATATATGTTTATAAATATTATGTTTTCTTGTTGGATCTTGTTTATCATTATGTAATGCCCTTCTCTATTATTGAAGTCCTCGTTTTAAAGTCTATCTTGTCTGTTATGCATATAGCAATACCAACTTTCTTTTCATTTCCATTTGCTTGGAACATCTTTTTCCATCCATTAACTTTCAGAGTGTGTGTGTCCTTACTTGTGAAGTGAGTCTCTAATAGGCAGCATATAGATGGATCTTATTTTCTTATCTGTTCAGCCAGCCTGCATCTTTTGATTGGAGAGTGTGGTCTACTTGCATTTAGAGTAAATCTTGATAGGTATGCGTATATTGCCATTTTGTTAATTATTTTTTGGCTGTTTTCATCATTCCTCTCTCTTCCTTTCTTCTCTTTCTCTATTAGCTTGTGATTTTATGGCTTTCTTTAGTGTTATGCTTATTTTCTCATTTTGCATATTTACTGTCAGTTTTTGCTTTGTGGTCACCGTAAGGTTCACATATAACTTCCTTTGTATGTAATGGTCTGTTTGAGTTGATAGCAACTTAAATTTGAACACATTCCAAAACTACATTTTTTTCTCCCCCCTCACCTTTTATATTTTAAATATCACCTTGGACATCTCTTTATTTTATGTATCTCTTAACCAATTATTGTAGTTTTAGTTAATTTTACGATTTTTGTCTTTTAATTTTCATACCTGCTTTATAAGTGATTGATCTACTTTATGTTTTCCACTGACATGTTTACTTTGATATATTTTCTTATTAATTAGTTCCATTTCTTTTCAGTTCAGAGAAGTCCTTTTAACGTGTCTTGTAGGGCCAGTGTAGTGTGATGTATTCCATTAGACTTTGCTTGTCTGGAACACTCTTAATCTTTTTTTCAGTTCTGAATGACAGTCTTGCTGGGTAGAGAATTCTTGGATGGAAGTTTTTTCCTTTCAGCCCTTTGAATAGGTCATGCCACTTTCTTCTGGCCTGCAAAGTTTCTGGTGATAAATCTGATGGCCTGTGGGATTTCCATTTCATATAGTAAATTTTTTCGTTTGCTGCTTTTAGGATTCTGTCTTGAAATTTTTCTTTTTCCGTTATAATGTGTCTTGGTGTGGATCTCTTTGGATTCATCTTCTTTGGAACTCTGTGCTTTCTGGACCTGGAAATTCTGTTTTCTTCCCCAGGTTAGGGAAGTTTTCTGGCCCTTTCTCTTCTCACTTTGGGACCCCAACTCAGGAATTTTTATTGGCCTGTGTTTTGCTTTTAAGTTCCAGCCTAAGTTTTGCTTATTTTCATGGTTGCTCATAGTATTGCCCCAAGTTGTTCTGCCTTAATTTTCTCAGTAATCCATATACCACTTTCCAGAGTTTGTTTTGTAGTGTGTTAGTAGGTGTAAAGAAAAAAGGGAGGAGTTCTCTGGCTAAATGACTTTGGGGAACGTTGGGTTAAACCAAGTTAAACAGGTTTCTTCAGAAGTTCTCAGAGGTTTTGCTATGCTAACATGAGAGTAGCATTCAGCTTTCGTCAAACATATTCACAGAGCATCCGGAAAGACTAGAGTCTTTGAAAAAATTTTTTGGAAGGTACCCTGGTATAATTGCAGTGCCATCATGGTGCTCTCCTCAATATCCACAAAACATGACTGTTATTTATCACCTTTATAGTGTTTTTTACATTGTGGCTTTTTGTCAGAATCACCTTGGGTGCTTGGTAAGTGTAAAGATTCCTAGACTTCACCACAGACTGTTGGAATTAGAATCTCTGCATAGTTTTACAAGCACCCAGGGAGATTCTTGTGCACTTTGAAGTATGAGAACTTTGAAAATTTTCTCAGATCCCCAATGCCTCATGAATACAGCTAACATCAGTATATCCTCCATGAGGTTTGTTTGCATATACATTCTAGCCCATTGATTTAACAAAAAATTGTTCACTATTGTGTGTATTCTGTTTTATATTTCTTAGTGGTATCTCCCTGGGGACACGGCAGACTTTTTAAGGGCTTATAATTTTGCATTTTCCCTGCTACTAAATATCCTTACATTTCTGTAAATATTTAAAAATTGACCTTTAATAAGGTTAGGTGAATGCAAAACAGCTGATGCTTTGAAATATTTTTCTCCCAATATGCTGTTTGTAAATTGTGGTATATTTTACATATAATGCGTGGATTTTACAGTCCAATGTTTTGGAAATTATACATCTGTGTAACAGCACCCCAGTCAAGATGTAGAATATTTCCATCATGCTAGAAAGTTCAGTCATTCCCTTTTCAGCAAATCCCCTATATCTCTCCTCCCAGGCAACTACTGTTTAGATTTTTATTACCATAGAGTAGTTTTGCCTATTCTAGAACTTCATGCAAGTGAAATCCCACAACGTGTACTCTTGTGTCTGGCTTTTTTTTGCAGAACATAATAGTTTTGAGATACATCCAGCAAGTTTTTATTTTATTGTTCACTAAGCATTCCGTTGTAGAAACATACCACAATTTATGGTATTAGTTACTAGTGATTTTCATTTGGGTCGTTACCAGTTGCTGCTGTGAACTAACATTCTTGTACCAGTCATTTTGTGGACATGTTTTTCTATCTCTTTGGTAAATACCTACTGGATCTGCTGGGTTCTAGAGTACTTGAGTGTTCAATACTTTTTTTTTGAAACCAGGAGAAATGTAAAAACACAAATTTTAAAATGTTCATTAAAGGGGGTGTTGCTTGAGCTCCTACCAGATATGCACTTTTATTTACATTGAATATATCTTTTTATTTACATTGTAATGATTCACGAGTAATCTCGTTTTTGTGAGTTTGAGAGATAGTACAACTGAAAAACCAAACTTCTGAATTTAGACTTTAAGAAATGCTCTGCTGTTCATTTAATACAGCTTATTTGACAATCAAAACCATTTGAGTCCTTCTCATTTCCTTCTAGCCAGGTTCTTCCCCTAACTTAACTACCATTTTTTTTGTTGTTGTTGTTACTGGGTTTTTTGGGGTTTTTTTTGTTGTTTTTTTTTAGCGTTTAGATGTGTAGATGTATTCCCGATAGAAGCACCCAGAAATTGTAATACAGTAGCTGCCTTTCAGGTTAATCCCCGCCATATGGGACAGCTGCCATACGGTGCTTCCATCCCAGAGCTGGGCAGTGGTAGCTGCCCATGCAGGTTCCTTGTTCAGTGAGAAGCTAAATTCAGTATAAACACGTGGAATTTTAAGAGTGTTGTAGTTAGACAAGTTCTTTAGTTCACTTAAACACTCTAAGTCCAGCCTCACAATCTACTTTGAGGTGGGAGAACTGTGAACCATTTTGACAGGATAGGACTCACTAAAGTTCAGAGGTAAATATTTTCTACTTCTCTTAAGAGCTCTTCTTTTTACAATCCTTCATTAAAAAGTCAGTTTTTATTTTGGGTACCTTCTTAGCTTAGTCGTCTAGCTGCTCTGATGCCTGCCTTTTGAATTATTTCTTTGAGGTGATCTGACCCCCATTTAAGGCACACCTTGGTATTACAAGACTTTTGGGATGATTTGGCAGTTCTGCTTATTACTTAATGTCTTCTTCCTCTGCTCATTAAAAACAATGCTATGAATTTTCTAAAATTTCGTAAATATTAGATAACTTTAAAGTATCAGTAGCCAAATATTTTATATTTTCCATTACTTTTATAATATTTCTCTTACAGATTTTATGTGATTTATTATCACCTGAGAACTTAAAAGAAGGCCTGAAGGACTCTTCCTGGAGCTCTTTGCCATGTAGTAAAAACAAACATTTTGGTTTTCCTTCAGTAACGGAAGAGTCTCACTCTGCCAGTGAGCTTAGTCCAGAGCAGGTAAGGGGTGAGAAAAGATTTTCATGGGTTTAGTCCATCTGGTTCTTTACACATTATGATTTTCACTTTCTTCGTTTGGAGTACTAGAATCTATTTAGGCACTTTTTTTTTTTTTTTTGCTAGTGATTTTTTTTTATTATATTATGTTAATCACCATACATTATATCATTAGTTTTTGATGTAGTGTTCCATGATTCATTGTTTGCATATAACACCCAGTGCTCCATGCAGTACGTGCCCTCTTTAACACCCATCACCAGGCTAACCCATCCCCCCTCCCCCCCGCCTAGAGTCCTGTTTGTTTTTCAGAGTCCATAGTCTCTCATGGTTCGTCTCCCCCTCCGATCCCCCCCTTCATCCTTCCCCTCCTGCTATCTTCTTTTTTTTTTTTTTTTAACATAAAATGTATTATTTGTTTCAGAGGTACAGGTCTGTGATTCAACAGTCTTACACCTATTAAGCATTGTCTTAATTAGATTTTATCTGTAGCCTTTTATTTTACACTTTTATGTAAAATATTTGTTCATTAATTACAATTTTTTTTAAAGATTTTATTTATTTATTTGAGAGAGAGAGAATGAGAGATAGAGAGCATGAGAGGGAAGAGGGTCAGAGGGAGAAGCAGACTCCCTGCCGAGCAGGGAGCCCGATGTGGGACTCGATCCCGGGAATCCAGGATCATGACCTGAGCCAAAGGCAGTCGCTCAACCAACTGAGCCACCCAGGTGCCCCATTAATCACAATTTTAGTTCACCCGGCATATCAGAAAACTTTGTCTTGTGGAAAATATAGAACACGGTATTTATTTTAGTTGCCCCGGTTGGAACAAGTATATTAGCATAACTGCGTAAACCTCATTGTAACATATCAGGTTGACTTCTAGGGCTACATAATTACTGGCAAAAGTCATTTATTTATCAGGGTTTTAGAATTAAAAGTTGGTGTTCTTAACTGAACAGTAAAATGAACCTTATGAGACACTGGAATTTCATTTCAGTTGATTCTTGGTGAGAGCAATAAAGAATAGTGAAGAAATACAGACACCCTTGTTTATTATATTTTTGTAGAACGAAGAGGTACCAGAGGTCACGTCAGAGCTTATCAGAGGAAGCCTAAACCGTGCTTGGTCAGCACAGGCTATACATTCAACAGAAATGCCTGCCAGAGAGGACTGTTTAAAAAGAGTGTCCTCAGAACCTTTACTCTCTGTTCAAGAAAAAGGTGCTCTGCTGAAAAGAAAATTGTCTCTTTTAGACCAGGATGTGATTGTAGATGAAGATGGAAGAAATAAGCTTAAAAAACAAGGAGGTAAAAATGTCACTACAGTCATAGAGAACACATTTACTTGTTTAGAATGGTCTTTAAACTTTTTCCTAAAGATAGTCCTGTCTCTTTGTTTTAATAGAAACTCGCAATGAAGTCTGTACATTTTCATTAACTTCTGGTCACATCCCAGAAGAATTAATTGATGTCTCAGATTTTGAGTGTTCTCTCTGCATGAGGTAAGTACGTAAAGTTTCATAAATGAGGAATATTTTATATTAATAAAATAGAGAGTAGATAAAGGTAATCTAATAGGCATTGTAAAGTGACAGAATACTGGACTAAATCAAAAGATAGAAATACCTTGCACATCTTGGGCAAATATCTTAATCTCTGAACACTCTCGATTTTTCCTGCTTAGAAAGTGGGGTCAGTATTTGCATAGCCTACGTTGCAGGTGGTGTAAGAATCACATGACTTAAATATAAAAAAGTGTCTAGGAAATTGGAAAGTACTGTGGAAGGTACACATATTACTGAAATGTAGATACATCCATGGTTTCAGATTTGGGTCAAAATTCTAACAACATGGTTGTGTGTATATGATTCTGTCTTGTTTTTATATCTTAACTATAAAATCCTTTTTAAGTAGAATTGGATAAAGATTTCCATTATGCAGAATGCCTATAATTCTAGAAGACCAATAGTTTTGAAAGAACATTTTCCACCTAAGTTGTGGTGGAGTCAAGGGAACAGTGCATGGAGAGTCAGGAGACCTGGTACAGGCCACATCAGGCTGGTAGGAATTAGCTGAGTTCCGAGCAGGTCCCCTACCTCTGCGCCTTGGCTTCTTCATCTGTGAGGTGAGGGCAGGAGGCCAGATGACTTCTCAAGTACCTATGTATCTAACAATACTTCTAGGAAATTCAGAAGTATCATGTTTCAGGAAAGAATTAGAGTGTAAGTAAAATCAGTTTTTTTCTATATTGTTTATTACATGTGGTGTTAAGCCTAATATTTAAGATCCAACTGTAAGGTTTATTGGGTTATTCTTTTTAATGAATTTTCCATAATAAGGCTTTTATAAGCATATTAAGAAGCCATTTTAAAGTGATGATAAAATAAGAATCTATACAACTAATAATTGTGAATATTTTGCGTTATTTCTTTTGCACATAGTCTCCGAAATCTCGTATTTTACATTTATTGTACTTCTCAGTTTGGACCAGCCACATTTCCAGTGCTCAGTAGCCCCATGTGGTGAGTGGCTGTTCCATTAGTCACTATAGTTTTAGGCCCTTGGCAGGGCACCCCTGTTGATGAGAACTTTTAAAAGGTTCAGGAGGGCATAATTACATTTGTCACTGCCCCTTCCTTCCTCTCCTGCCCACTAGACCCTCCTTCCAAATAATGGTTCCATTATTCGCTTTTTCCAGTGGATAGTTTAATGTGTAAACTAACAGGTATTTTGGTTGATTTCAGGTTGTTTTTTGAGCCAGTAACAACCCCTTGTGGACACTCATTCTGTAAGAATTGCCTTGAGCGTTGTTTAGATCATACACCGTATTGTCCTCTTTGCAAAGAAAGCTTAAAAGAGGTAAACATTTTATATTTATCTGTTTATTGTTCTTAAGCTTGGCAACATTGATTTCTATTTGGCCACAGAAATAGTGATTATCATGTTCAGAATAAGTTACATTATGTATGCTACGTGACCAAGAAGGATAACGCTTCATTACACAAATGCTAGTGCTGGAGAAATGTGAGTTTAGAGAGCATAGGGGAAAGTAGGGTGGTCCTGGAGGCCAAGCCCCATGTACTTATTTATTTATTTATTTTTTATTTTTTAAAGATTTTATTTATTTATTTGACAGAGAGAGAGAGAGAGAACAAGTAGGCAGAGAGGCAGGCAGAGGGAGAGGGAGAAGCAGGCTCCCCACAGAGCAGGGAGCCCAATGCGGGGCTCGATCCCAGGACCCCGGGATCATGACCTGAACCAAAGGCAGCCGCTTAACCAGCTGAGCCACCCAGGCGCCCCCTTTATTTTTAACAAGGTGGGGGATGGCCAAGTACCTGGTCTAGAATTGGTTCCATTTTAATGATGACAGTATTGGGGAAACCCAACTGCCCTGTCTTCCACCCTTAATAATAGGCTAGATTTCAGCCTTAGGCCTACCCCCTTAAGGTATGGACCAACTCTGTCCAATAGAATTTTTTGCATTGATGGAAATGCTCTATATCTGTGCTGTCCAACATGGTAGCCACTAGCCACATGTGGTAATGAAGCACTTGAAATGTGGCTAGTGCAACTGAGGAACTGTATTTTAATTAATTCTCATGTAAGCGTTCACATGTGACTGGTGGCTACTCACTGGTGGCTACTCTTTGGGCAGCCCAGCTCTAGAAAGTGGTATACTGGACAGAAGAGAGGGAGGCACAGCTTCCTACACCCCTTGTATAGTCAGTGGTCAATGCTAGTAACCTGTGTTAGGGAAATAGCTAGATCTCAGGTGCATATCTTCTGTAACCAGTGGGAAGACAGTATTCTCCCAGTCCTGCTTGGGTGACTGGAGCCCCCGTAAGGTGAGGTAAGCTCCAACTGCAAGGATAGCATTGATCAGGGAGAGTGATCCGGTCTTTGTGGGTGACAGGATTGCTTAAAGAAAAAAGTGCCTTCCAAATAATGAAAAATTGATAAGACATTTTGCAATTGAATGTACATAGTTATTTCCTATGTAGAAAATACAGCTCTGTACAGATACCATAATAGCATATGTGTATTATTACATTTGATATGGGTCTTACATAACAAGCCAGTATGTAAGACATAAAACCATGTACAGAATTTTCACAAAGAGTTTGTTAGTTACATTTCAGCTGATATACTTTCAGGTGAAGTACTCTAATCATGCTGTTTTTCCTATGTTTCCAGGTTTTTAGATACTCTGTAGTATATTTATTATGTTTTTTCTCAAGTTAGTAATTAGATACATGGCTTTAAATGTAGAGATAGCTCACCTTAAAAAAATGTCTGGAGTTTGAAGGAAAACAAAATAAGCATATTATTTAAAAATACAATTAACATCCTGTTTGAAAATAACTTTTTCCTGTGTCCTAAAGATATCCTGTATAGTAGGTAAAATCTAATATATGTTTTAAAGAACAAATCGATGTGCTGTATAGTTTTACACTTTTCCTACTTGTTATTTTGTTTTGCTCATTTTTTCATTTGAATGTATTTTAAAGATAGGATTTTTATAGCAGAATAGTACATTGGTTTAACATTTCCCTAATGTTGAGTATGTAAGTGGTGGGTTTTTTTTTTATATATATATACTATGCTTTGCATCTTTGTTTCCTTAGGATAAAATTTCTGGAAGGTTGAATTACTAATCAAAAGTCGTATATTCATAAGACTCAAAACCAATTGCCACGTTGCCTAGGTCCCGCAGAAATATTGTACAAATTTAGATTCCTCTCGGTAATGTAAGAGAGGTTGTATTTCCCCAAATTTAATACATGAGTATTACACTATATATTATTATATAGAATATGTAGCCTCATGGTTTTCAAAATGTGTTCCCCTTCCCCTGGGAACTTGTTAGAAATACAAATTCTCAGACCCTACTCCAGAGCCACTAAATCAGAAGCTCTGGGCTAGGGCTCAGCAATCTGCATTTTAACAAGCCCTGATTGATGCTAAAGTTTGACAACCACTCCTATTACCCGTTTCCCAACCCCTCACATTCCCTCTTCCTCCTCCTCTGTTCTTCATCGGATAATGGCAAACCCTTATTTTTGCTGCATCTGCAGATTAAAAGTATGGCTTCTCTTTATCTTGTGATTGTCTCCCAAGAGTTGTTCCTCGCTAGTTTTAAGAAATTTATATTGGTCATTGTTCCAAAATTCTGTACACACACTCTGACTTAGTCCCCAGCCTTAGGCAGTTTTTATCTGCAGAAATAGAATGTCTCCTTGTCCATGTAATATAATACAGTGCAGGCTGTGATAACTGCCTTTTATGTGGTAAAGGCGGTAAAAATGGGCTTTGTGGGAGACAGAAAAATAGTTAAGGCAGACTTTGTGGAAAAGGTAAAGTTGGAGCCAGACCTTACAGGATAGGCAGGCTTCTCGGAGGGAGAGGGGTGGCTTTTAGCAGTTTTTCCCGAGTGTTGAGGGAGTAGTACAAATATACCATTTTATATAGAGTGGGGGGCTGAGTGATAGCAAGTGACAGTGGAAGGAAAATCTGAAAGAAAAATGATCTGAAAACTCCGCCACTGAAATCAGGAACCAAAAAGGGAATAGTTTTGCTTGTGAGGAGCGGGCAGGGCAGGCCTGACTGTTAAGAAGGGATCTGTGGCCACAGCCAGACCAGGGTCTTGTGCACAGGGCGCAGTTTCTGCTGCAGCCGTGTAGCCTGAATGGTCTTGGACACAGCCTGGGCAGGTGGACCTGTTTAGCGCCATCCATTGTCATCTTCCTTCCCCCTCACCCATTCATTCAGAATCGACTGTGTAAATATGTAATTAAGGCTTTACTCTATTCAGTTCAACTGTTTTGCCTGTTTTATACCGTAGGAAAAGCACTGGAATGTAAAATAATATTGTCTTTTAGTATCTAGCAGATAGGAGGTACTGTGTCACACAGCTGTTGGAAGAATTGATAGTGAAGTATCTGCCTGATGAGCTGTCTGAGAGAAAAAAAATATATGATGAAGAAACTGCTGAGCTCTCACAGTAAGTTTCTTCTCATAAAGTTAATGTAATCCCCGCCCTTTGACCCAGTAAGGAGAGACCTCCTCCCAGCAAGCTGGATCCTGTCTGGAGTTCAACCCAATCTAGCCAAAGGCGTATTTTAAACAAATCCTGGTCAGCTAACCCCCTCTCCTCAACAGACAGAAGTCTTTAGAAGTTTCTTTGGTAACTTCCAGATCTTCCACTGGAGGTTGTCGACTCAACTCTTTGCCCCAAGCAGGTTTTTAGGCAGAGGGGGTATTTCCTACAGTGACTTCAAGGCAGTGGACTGGGAACGGAGCCCTCAAGTACCTTTGTTCCCCCTAAGGCAGGGCAAGAAGGGGGTTGAGGAGAAATGGCCTGATTGGCAGGCACGGTAGCCAATTAGAGGCCGGGAAGGGGGTGGGACCTTGAGGCCTGAGTCTGAAATTGGAGTGATTTAGGGGCCAAATTCTCAATTAGTGAAGATTGTTGAGTGGTAGCAGATTAAGGTAGTGTCAGGAGGGAACTTGGGGATAGAGTGGTACCGCTGCTGTAGACCCCTCTAAAGAGCGAGCACACAAAGGCTGGTCGGGGCTGGGTAGATTGGACCTGCTTGTGTTCTGTATTCTTTCTTCCTTGTCCTCTTACGTTCTTTTCCCTTCGTGTCTTTCCCTCTTGCTCCAGTCACACGAGTCTCTCTCAATTTCTTTCCTAGGTGTTTAATTTCTTAACTCTTTTTCTTTCACTCTAAAGAACAGAATTGCAATTTTCACATGCTGTTTTTACTTAATACCCTTTGTTTCCATTACGTCTCAAAATACATTTTTTCTTACTTTCTAAGAAAAAATTGTGCTTGCAAACTTAGTACGTGTCCACTGACTGTCTTCACGGGGCCAGTGGCCTTCCACAGACGAACGATTTCCAATCTTCTCTTTACCGAAATGGACACTGATTTGTCTTCCATGGGTTTTATTGTATGATTTTAGGATAGAAAATATAATGATATGAGGATTATGAACCTTTTTGATCAACACTGCAAAAAGCTGGATATAAGAAAGCCTCAGATACACTTTTGAAATCTTAAATATAGTAACACAACCAGACTCTGCAGAAGACTGGAATCTTCCAATGAGAGATGAAGTAGTCACGGGAGGGGGGCTGAGTGTGATGCAGGGAAGTTGGAGGGAGTCTTGCTGCTTTTTTTAAAGGCTGTTTTTTTAAAAAGGTAGCTCATCCCCTGGTACTTAAAAGTTTTCCTAATTGATAGGTATGCTGTTTGTCAACATAAGAGCTGAAAGAAAACCAAATAGGGTGCTCAGTTATGGTAGAACACACATTTTTAAAAGAGGAACTAGCACTTGTATTATGAAATATTACTTTTACATAATTATGTCTTTTTGAAAAAAACCTAGAAAATACTGCAAATGAGCCTGTAAGGGGAGGGGAGGAGGGAGGTCACAATCTATAAATACATTTTAAACAAAAACGGGGTCATTTTATTCATGTTAGTCTATAATCTCCTTATTTTGTTCCAAGTCAACACGTATAGATCTTTTTTTTTTAAAGATTTTATTTATTTATTTGAGAGAGAGAGAGAATGAGAGATAGAAAGCACGAGAGGGAAGAGGGTCAGAGGGAGAAGCAGACTCCCTGCCGAGCAGGAAGCCCGATGTGGGACTCGATCCCGGGACTCCAGGATCATGACCCGAGCCGAAGGCAGTCGCTTAACCAACTGAGCCACTCAGGCGCCCAACACGTATAGATCTTTTAATGAAAACACAGTGTTTCATTTTGTGTTTATGTCTATTTTACTAGTCCCCTCTTCTAAGTTTTGGTTACTGTATACAATGTTACAGTAAACAGTCTTAAAGTGCTTATAGAATTATTTCTAGAAGTTCAAAGGATATGAACTTTTTAGTCTTTGACGCATGCAGCCAGATTCTTCTTCAGCATGGTTGTACGGTTTCAAACCACTCTCCACACTGCCAGTTTTTCCCACAAGCTTGCCAGAACTGGGCGTTGCCTTTATCCTTCTTATTTCCTGCCAATCTGGCAGTGAAAATTAGTTACTGAGTTATCTGTTTTTTGATAGTGCATTAAAATATTTTCAAATGCACTAAGAATCTTAAAGATTTGCTTTTTGTCTATTGTGGGAGCTCATTTTTCCTTCTCTAAGAGTATTTTATGCACAAAAGATTAACTGTTATGTTACATATATTTTAAAGATTTTTAATACAAAATACTAATTGTACTGTTTATTTGTAAAGATAATTTAGTTCTATATAATCTGGTATCTTAAATTCAGATTTACTTTTATAAGAGGATCACAGATTTTTAGTATTAATATTGCATCTCTGTGAGCTTAATGAAGGAGATGCTGATTCTTGTTCTTGGCAAAAATAAAAATCACCTCATTTAGAGCTAATTTTTTATGTTAATTTATAACGTTGCAAGCTTCACTCATTTTCATGTTCTGATGTGTGATAATGAAACTTCTTTGCTCTTCAGCTTGACCAAGAATGTTCCAATATTTGTTTGCACTATGGCCTACCCCACTGTGCCTTGCCCTCTTCATGTATTTGAGCCAAGATACAGATTGATGATACGAAGAAGTATACAGACGGGAACCAAACAGTTTGGGATGTGTGTCACTGATACACAAAATAGGTATGCTTTTTTTGTACGTAAATATTTTTGTTTATATTTGAATATTGAGACCGTGCATGCTTGTTGCTTGAACTTTGATATTAATCAGAATTTCTCTTTTAGTTTTGCAGATTATGGTTGTATGTTACAAATTAGGAATGTACATTTCTTACCTGATGGAAGGTCTGTGGTTGATACAGTTGGAGGGAAGCGGTTTAGGGTTTTAAAAAGAGGAATGAAAGATGGATATTGCACTGCAGACATTGAATATCTGGAAGATGTTAAGGTATGAAAAAATGCTTTTTTAGCACACTTTGGTGTACTCTGCCCTAGGCACTGTACAGGCATATAGGCTGGTATTTTTCCAGGCACATAAAACAGTTCTTCCTATCAGAGATCCTCACTGCTACTTAAACAGATTAGCTCCAGGTTACCTTTTGCTTATCTTGCTCTTACTCACAGAGAGTTCCAGGCAAACTTGGGTGTCCGGAATGTAGATCTTCATTTCTACAGGCTCTACACCCAGCATGGTCCTAGAAGGATGTGGACATGGTGGGCACTTAACAGCAGTTGATTGAACTTTCAACCCATCTAAATTATGAAAGCTGCTAATCCCTGCCCTTTTTAATTAAATTTAGTAGCCAAAAGTGATACAATCAGCAGATTGAAATGTGACATAAATGTAAACACAAAATCCTTTAAAAACTGTTCTATATGTGTGTGACATAACCTTAATGATAAAAGAGACACAGTTGGGTGATGTGTTCAAAGTCTAGGACATCACTGAGAAAGTACCATCACTATACTTATTGGTGATAGCTTACCTGGGGAGATTTGTTGTGATAACCTTCTTAGACAGGATTAATGTGGCTCTCTGATGTTTCCAGTATCTAATTCACCATCTGCAATTAGTTTAGGTACCAAACTAAAGGCAGTTTCGTTTGGAAGGACATTCTAAAACCATTGATCTCATGCTCCCACTGTTCATAGACTTATTTGGGCCCTTCATTTTAATCGTTTATTGAATGCTCGCATTAGGCACTTCTACAAACGTAAGCTCATTGAATTTTCAAAACTCAGCTAGCAGATGAGGAAGGTAAAAAAGTGTTAATTTGCCTAAGATCCTATGGGTAGAGTAATAAAAATGACTTAAAGCGAGCGCTCTAGCTCCCAGGTGCTGTGCTTTATCATTATGCTCTCTTGCCTCTCTGGTAAACTCAGTCTGATATCGCCTGTCCTATCTTATTATTAAGATGCTATGGGGACACTTTTCTTTTGGCCTATGGCACAAAGTATTGTGTGAGTTGAAATTCTGAGCCGATTGATATTGTCTGTGCCTCAGGAATGCTTGGTTAATGGAATCATGTGCTAAAGGCAATATTCTTTGTAAAAGTAATGCCCCATTTTAGCTTTTTGTAAGTTTACATCTTCACATTTGGATTTGATAACAAAATCCCTTGAGTATATGGCTAACCCTATGACTATATATAAATATGGGACAACAGAATAGCATATTGAAAGCATTATGGATTTGATGTTTAGAAACAGTTCTCTGTAGTCTTGGGAATGTCTAATAATTTTTCCTCATCTTAATGCCTCATCTATATAATGATTTCTTGTGTCTTCTGGAAAAGCTTCTCAATTTTCTTTTTTTCCTTAGTGTAGTATTTGTTTTCTGTGACTTCTACTGAAGTCTTAAAGTTCTGCTTGCTTTTAGCCAGCTCTGTTTTCCATCTCAGGCACTTAGCCTTTTTGTCATTTCTTGTTTTCTGCAGCCCCTGGTTTGTTTGCTTGAATTTTGGAAAGGTGCAAAGTAGTTTTCTTTTTTAATAGTTTTAACAAGTCACAAGGTTATTTCTAGCTCCTGTCAAGACCAGTGTGTGTTAGCAGGGGACTGAATCTTACATAGTCATTCCAAGACCAGAATTCAATTGTATGGTTCCTCCACCTTTTTATTAACAGAATTTACCAGTTTAATCGTTTTTAAGTCTATAGTTCAGTGGCATTAAGTACATTCACATTGTGCAAAAAGCAGGTGCTTTTTAGTTGTATTTTTCATTTCAAATCTTTCACAAATAAAAACTATGTTTTCAGAGTCCCTTTGTTGTTTTTATAATGAGTCATTCTAAAAGTATGAAAGGCTGAGTCAGGCCTGGTATTTGTTCAGATGAGTTAATGTATGTGAAATTCAGCGCTCCCTGGCATGGAGCGAGTGGGATAGAAGTGTGTGCTAAAGAAATCAATGCAAGATGGAGGAGTTAATGCTCTATTTTCTCTCCCATGTTCTTTGAGGCCTCACAGGGGATCTTAGGCTTCAAGGCTGATGCATTTAATTTTGTGTTTGCAATAGTCTGCAGGGTGCAGGGAGGGATGATGGAGGTAGCCCCAGCCTTGGCCTTCACAGCAAGCACTTCATTGTGGCATAATTTATTCTCTCTTTTGATATACTGGTTTTAGTTTCTTGTTTTAATCCAGTTCCCTGGTACAAGGTGTCATTATGCTTGTTCTCCATCCTATTACTGCTTTCTGCCATGTTATCTCTGCCTTAAACTTCCCCCCAGTCCTCTTCCCTTTTATTGCAGCAACTGTATTCCTTCTTGTTCTGCCATTTTCAAAAGCCATTAATCCATAAAGACAAAAAGGAATTCCAAATTCGTGTAGACCTTTCTCCAAGAACTCACTCTCAGGAGTCCCGCCCCCAGCTGGGGGCTGTTGGGAGGGTTCTGCAGTATTGCCTTGCTTCTTCGACAAGACGGCATGGCGCTCAGCAGGTGCTGCTTTTGTCTGGCCACGGGCACTAGGTGAGGCAGAAACACATAATGTATATTGTGTAATACTCTGATCCAGCACTGAAATAGGTATTGCCTGTTTTTAAATTTATATTATTTTTTCATTTCTGTAGGGTTAGGGATAATGGACAGGAACACTAGACACAAGTCTGACTGACTGTTGTGTTTCTAGGTTGAGAATGAAGAGGAGATCAAGAATCTCAGACAGCTTCATGATTTGGTATACTCACAAGCCTGCAGCTGGTTTCAGAATTTAAGAGACAGATTTCGAAGCCAAATTCTTCAGCACTTTGGCTCAATGCCTGGGAGGGAGGAAAACCTTCAGGTATGATGGCTTTGATATTGTTTCCAAAAGTCTCACTTTTTTTTTTTAAATAAACTCAAATTAGTGGATTTTTAAGTTTTTGTTTTGTTTTGTTTTCCCTTTTGCACAGCATTTCCTTTGTCCCTGTTGTCTGTAAAATCATGACCATATTCTCCAGAGCAGTGGTATCCACTACAATTTGTATAGGAATGGGCAAGGACAGAGTTGTCAGCTGAGGTAGCTGTGAGCGCACAGAAGGAGAAAGCCCTTCATGGGGGATTTGCCTGAAAGAGGGATAAGGAATGAAAGGTGGAACATTCTAGTAAAATGGTACCCACCTAGTAAATCGTAATTAAGAGACCTAGTTGGCCTTGGAGCCAGTCAGCTGTTCTTTGACAGTTGGGAGAGGTCTCATTTTCTGTACTTTCTAGAAGTCTTCTTTCATCTCCAACTTTTTTCCTTGCTACTTCAATTCATTTGTGTCTCTTCCCATTTAATACTTCACTCCTCAGGAAACTATTGTTTTGATGGTCTTGCTCAAGTCCTTCGGGTTTAAGTTTAATGTATAGAAGGCACTTTCTGTGCAAGCCGATCTGCGCAGTAGGTACTGTAAGACGCACAAAAAGAAGTATCCCCATTCTGGAAAATCGGATAGATCGATCCATCAAAACGCTAACTTTTAGAGCTAAGCATTTTAATTGGGATAAAATGTTGATGGTCAGATGGTAGATTTCATAATGGAATGGCTGTAAATAAATAGATGAAGATGGACACCGCACCTCATTCTGGTTTTCAAAGGCTGGCCTAAGTCTGTCTGAATCCCAACTGAATCCTTCAACAGAACTTGAAATTCTAACATCAGACTATCTCCGAATTGAGTACTCCTTCTGTGTTCCCATCCTAGCAGTTGCCACACATTTGTTTTATCCTGGCTACCTGAATCTGATTAGACGTGATCGAAATAGCCTTTGATAATCCTAAAATCGAACAAGTATATTTAAATGTAAAATCTCAACCTTACTTTCACTGAATTATTATTCAATCCTCTAGCACTGCTTTCTAGTAGTATTGTTGGGAGTCAGGACTTAGGAAAACAAAAGCCCCCACGCTGTATAATCCAGGCGGCGGTGGGGGGTGGTGGTGGTGGTGGTGGTTTATTGTAAGATGTAGAGTTGACACAGCTGTTGGCAGAGCTAGAGGAGTGAAGATCAGGGACATCACTGATGGGAGATGGGGAACCTGCCACCATAGATCTCAGCCTGACACAGTGAAGCACCATCTTCTCAAGAACTTCCAGAGAAGTTGCTGTAATTCTTAGGCCGATTAGGGAGGTACCCACCAGTATCAGTCTGTAGCAGGTGGTTAAGAATTCTCTAGAAGGTTTCTGCAGATCTTCCAATACTTTGCAATAGTTGGCAGAGAACAATGGTTTCTTCTCTTCCAACTTCCACATCTCACCAAAGTATGCGTCTCCTTAGCCAAGTCTAACCCAGAACCCTGTGAGGGAATGGATTCTGGGCAATGTTTCTGACTGCTCTGAAATGCAAGAGGGAGGGGGGAGTGATGCTGAGAACAGAGAGTCCACAAATACAGCAACTCTAGTTTGATTCTAGAGGGAGATTTCAATAGCAGTGGCTTAAAAATTCTTTTCTATAAATTCCAAGTTCTTTCAATAGCCACTAGACAGCCCTTGCAACATCAGAAGGACTTCTTTGCTGGAAATGTTTATTTTTCAAACAAAACTAGAGGCTGAGACCTTTTCTTCTATCTTGCCTAGGATTCCACAGTGCTTTGAAGGCATTTTTAAATATCGATTAGCTTAATGCTTTAAATATGTATTTTAAGAAAGTAGTTCCCAGTTAGGACAGTTTTGTGCCTGCGGTCCATTGGGGCAGTGTCTTATTCTTTGACAGCTCAACTGCTTTTTCCCTTGCTATGTCACTCCTCATGTAATTGGAGACAACTTTCACTGTCACTGCCGGGAAGTGCTACCAGCAGCATCTTAGTGGATAGAGGTCCGACATCCTGCTGAAGAACGTTCCCACATGTCAGCAGCCCGGAACGGAGAAACCCTGCCATAAGGCAGCGCGGGGCAGAGGAAGGAAGGAAGGAAGGCTGGCCATAGAGTCAGGTCTGGGTTTCAGTCTTAGACAATTTACATTTCTGGTGTTCCGTTTCCCCATTTTATAGGGGCTTAATAGCCTTCCTAACATGCCTATTAGAAGAATTTGAGGTAGGATCGGACACATAGTAAAGTGCTCAATGAAGAGTAGCTTGTTGATTTGTTACTGTTTGTTACATAGATATGTATTTTATTAATACTATCAACTGTTGGTTATTTTTAGGCAACCCCTAATGGACCCGCATGGTGTTGGTGGCTTCTTGCAGTTCTTCCTGTAGATCCCCGATACCAGCTGTCCGTTTTGTCAATGAAGTCTTTGAAAGAACGGTTGACAAAGATACAGCACATACTGACCTATTTTTCTAGAGACCAATCTAAGTAACTAACTGCTTGGATCTTCCTTTAAAGTTACCCTAATCTGGCTGTGTTGACGGCCAGATTGTCTGCTGCCTTTTGCACATCCAGTGCTGGTTTGAGAAATGTAATGAAACCTTCCCCCCCCCCTTCAACCTCCTGAATCATGTGGTTCTTCAACTAGGACTTAGACCACTAAGAACTTGCACAGAAAAACACACACTGAATGTGTGTCAAACCTCTACATTGTGATAAAGTTGCACTATGTACCATATTCTAAAACAAAATGAGAACTGTGTGTATGTGGGGTGTGTGTGTGCGCGCGCGTGTGTGCATTTTCTCTGGCTTTAAAATTTTAAAAGAAAAAAAAAGCCATAGAGAGCAGGCCTTGCTGAGGGTTGGTTATTGCCCAAGTTTACAACAGTAGCGACACAAGTTTTTGCAAGTTGAATTCGCCTCAGATATATCTGTCCTAATGCTTCTGTTTGCACAAGTATGTAAACTATGGTATTGAGTATCTCTCTTGGTTGGAAATACTGCTCTTGCTGAACTGTCTTGACCATTGACTATGACACAGTTTCTTATTTATGTAAATACTTGCGTCCTAAAGGCCAACAGGCTTTGGATGCGGAACCTAGAGCCAGTTTTCAGGAACAATTGCAAACCTGCCATGGTACTGTGCATCTATTCATAAAACACTTAAAACTGTGAAAATATGGTTTACATTTAATTGTACATAAAGGTAAATGGAGAACTCAATTCAGTACCAGTTAGTTTGTATATTTTAGGGGGCTTTTCACATTAACTGCCCATCTATATAATTTATAGTTTGACATGATGTGTTTGTTTAAAAGAATTACATAGGCTAAACCCATTAAGGATCTGGGGGAAGAGAAGAAGCTTAATGTAGAACTAAGCTTTTAAAGTATGTTTTATTTTTTAATTCTGGTCTTGGTGCAAATGTTAGCTATGCCTTATTCATATCACAATTAGATCACCATGCTGTGACATGGTTTGTATTCATGCTGCCCTAGATACTTTTGTAATTATTTGTTGCAAACTTGTGACTGTCCCTGTTAACTTTCTTTTATGTAAGTACTTTGTAAAAGTTTCTTAAACTTTTGCTTTTGCTTATTTAATTTTGAATAAAAGCTAAATTCATAATAATTTTTTTCTTAAAATTTAGGTCAGTGTCATACTGTTTCGTGACATGAGATATAAGCTTATAGCTTTCAGAATACTTTTTTCGGTCATTTTTGACCAAACCGTGCAGTGTCTTAAGGCGGCTTTAGGCCCTAAAATAATCCTTTAAAGTACTGTTTTTCAACATTTAGAAAAGCCATGTCCCTTTAGGATAAAACACAGTTCTTCATGTTACCCCCGCATTTGAGACTCCTTGATTAAACATCAGATCCCAATTTCCCAGGTAGGATTTTCCAAATATAAATAAGTCATTGAACAGTGAATATTCTTACAAAAAATATATTCAGAAATGACTGCCTAGTGAACCATCCTTTGCCCCCACAATTACACTGAGAATTTGTGTAAAGAGTGGGCCATTCCCCAAAAGTACCTTATCAATAGTTCTGAAGTTTTAAACTTTCTTATAATAAACTATTAAATGCCTGTTGAGTAGTGTCCGGGTAGTAATATACATGAAAAGTTTACCTATAGTTCTCATATGTAGGAGAAGGAAGTAGGATTTACCTGGGCTGAATCTACATCTGCAATACGTGCACGCACACACACACACACACAAATGGGCATGAAATTATCTCTATATACATGTACATACTAACGGGAATTGATGAGTTTTATCATTTGACTCTAATTTTGTGATGAATGTTCTGTTATGTCTATAGATTTTCTTGGATCCCTGGACAATTATTTTCCTACTGTACCTTACGAACCATTTATCCAGAAAGGAAAACAAAAATCTTACAGATTCTTACCATTATCACTTTAAGTGACTAAGTTCTGTCACTTTTCAACATTTCAAGTCAAAGTAGCTAGTTGCTGCTCTGCTCTTAATACACCTGCCTCTACATGTCCATATCTTCCTGTTCTTCAAGGAACCCGGACGCCTTCACTCAAATAGAACTCTGAACTCCAAAGCACTTTCCTTGTACTTTGCTAATGGCACTTACAGGAGGTAACTGAATCATGCATGAACCCTCTCATGAGTATTATGACTGGTGTCTAGCAGTTTAGACAGATTTAATAGGCTGACCACTGAACTGAAATAAATGCCCATTGAGAGAATGGTTAGACTGAGCGATACTTTTGCCTTCTCTTCCCCAAATCCAACAAAATGACAGTAAAGAAAATGAAATCTAATGACATTGTGAAACCAAAAATCCATCAATTAACAAATGCTTTTGAGGAATTTCTGAGACAGGGGAACAGAACATGATCTAGAAGACTGAGGACAGCACAGCGTTTCAGAATTGGAAGACTATACCCCAAACTAGGGGAGGGTCTTAGAAGACTCAAGAGGATTTCTTGGGGAGCTGATACCTGACAAAGGTAGATCATTTGGCTGAGCAGTAGGTAGCAACAGCAGTAGTTCTCCAGCCAAATCGCAGAGTGGGGACATTGAGCCAGAGAAGACCCTTGAAACATTAGCTACAGATCCCGAGTAGGATGGAGGGCCCTCACACTGAGACTGCACACTCCTGAACTACCTCATGTGGCCATGTGTTCCCATGTTCTCCCACGGTCGACAGGACGCAGGTGACCTGTGACTGAACCAGCAATCCCAAAAGAATGAACAGGGATCCCAAACGTCAAAGATAATTTTCTCAGACCTCAAGACAAAAATCATTTTTGCTTTCTCAGGGACCAGATTGATCCATTTAAAGGGAAATAGCAAGGCAAACTTAGGTAGACTGAGGACAAACAGAATAGTAATAACTCAGTTGTCTGGCATGGATCTGCAATGGAGAGGACTGGCCTAATATGAATTCAATATGAATTTTCTTCATAAACCAATGCTTAAATGCCAACACTTAAAAAATGCTAAGCATTTTTATACCTAAAACATTTATAACTCAGTTTAATAAAGGGGTTCTCTTGCAGACCTGCCTCCAAATAGCTTTCGGCTGTTCACCGAAATTAAATGTATGCGTCAGGATTTTTGGGGGGTCATGATTTAGGGTATTGAAAAGAATATAGGCTTACTTCCAAAATGTAGTAAGACCCTATTTAATCCACAGAAAAATCCTGTAAAGTAGGCATTCTCCTTGTACAGATGAGAAAACTGAAAGACTAAGTAGTTAAGTAATTGTCAAAGGATTTACACAGCTAATGTGCAGTGAAACTGACTTTGAACCTAGGCATCTGGCTCGACCTTTACTGCCATATCAAGTTATAAAACATCTCAGAAGGTCAATGTGTAAGGAAGGGTCTGGAAATGATTCACTTGACTTTCTGACATAGCAGGCTTTACACGTGACAGGGAGTGCATTTTATAGCGATGGAATTAGAACTTGCTTTTAAGCACCTCACCCAGATTGTGAGATGGCCAAATCAGGCTGAGTCATATAATTTTGGGAGTAGTATAAATTGCTGACAATCTTTTAAAGTTACCTTGCAGTATGTATCGAGATCATTAAAATGGTCATATTCTTTGACCCAATCTTATTTTAGAGGAAGGACATTGATTCAAGAAAATAGAATCCACATGAATGATGATACTCTTTTAATGTCTCTAGAACAGCAAAAACTTAGAAACAACCAATGCCTATTATTGGTAACAAATAGACTGTGTGAAAAAGTACAATTCAGAAGTAGACTTATACCACGATTACCATGGTATATTAAAAAGTAGAAAATACTATGTAAAAATGAAATCAGTAAAACAGGTAATATATTTTTCTTTAGAAATCCTGTATGTCTTTCTTGTAGGGAGGGCAGCCATCTAGAACTAATGTGTTCAATCTACAATACTCTTGGGATTTACTTTTGAAACTGTGACCACACAAACCTTTAAGAACATCATGGTTATACTGATAAGTTTGTTATGTTTCAAGTACACAAAAGCTTGAAGGCTGGAAACTGGAAACAGTAAAGTAGTCAAGAATGACTGTAGAGGTATATACCTTTAAAAACACTCTCAGGGTATTTGGCGTTATCCTTTCACTGTTCGGTATTAGGAAATACGAAGTGAAGTAAAGGTGAAAACCTATGTTATTGGTAAAAATGTTAAACCATGCTAACCAAAGGATTTCCAGGAAAGATGGTGGAGTAGGAGAATGCTCAACTCACCCCATCCCACAGATACACCTAGATAACACCCGACCAGTGTAAATAACCCAGAAAATGACCCAAAGAGTGGCAGAACAAACTCTCTAAAGCTAAATAGAAAGATGCCACATCCAAAACAGTAGTAAGGAGAGAGATGAGGTCAGGAACCAAGCTGACCTACAAGACTGTCCCACAGGAGGAAGGGGGGACCACTGCAAGCTCAGAAAAGGGAGAAGTACAGACTTTACACCAAGCACCCCAGGCATGGGGGGCCCCCACGGGGACGAGGAATCCCCCTAACATTTGTCTTTGAAAACCAGAGGGGCCTAACATCACAAGTTCATATAATCAGTGGTATAACACCTGGAACTTTAAAAATTAGCAGACTCCACTCTGGAGAGAGCAGGAGTACAATAGGAAACTGAGTCCCCACCCTTAAAGAGACAGCACAACAAACACGCACACTGAGATACAGCATAGAAGCAGCAGTTTGAAAGAACACTGGGGTATACAGGAAGGAAATGTATTTACTAATCTCAGAACATGCACTGGAGGGGCAGGGGTCTTGAAGAGACTTCTCCGAGAACAAAAGAACTGTCAGGTACCATTTCCTTCTCCCGCCCCCCGCCAGCCTAGATACCCAGACACCTGCAGGAACCAGTGCAGCTCCAACACTCTCTGCCTAGCTTGCTCACAGTGAAACCAGTCCCTCTGTGCTCCGACAGACCCACCTACTCTAACCCACCGTCAGCAGGAGACCCCCCCCCAAAATGGTGCCACAAGCCTGGCAGCGTATAAACAGCCCAACAGGGCCAAAACCACTCCAAATGACTCAAGCCGCTGGAGGTGGGGGAAATAACCACACATCAGTTTGACATTTGTCCCAGCAATACGTTGGGAGCAGACATCTGGTGTGACCACAGGCCCCACGCACCAACACCAGCCTCACAGGGGACAACACAGGGAGAGCACTCCACAGTTTAGTGCTACCACAGCCTTGGCAAACATCTGGTCTGACTCAACACAAGCCCAAGGCCGCCCCAAACGGGCACATTAAGAGCACAGGCACCAAATCTTGCCCACAATAGGCAAAGAAAGCCATTGCAGAGGACTGCAAACACAGCTCAGGCACAATAGTAGGGCTTGTGCAACACAAAGGCACCTGGGAAGCCCCAGGTTCTAGCACATGGGACACTGTCCTGCAGGGCACAAGACCTCTTTTTCCTAAGGCCACTACTTTAAAGAGCAGGAGACATAGCTGACTTAACTAACACACAGAAACAGACACGGAGAGTTAGACAAAATGAGACAGAAGATTAGGTCCCAAATGAAAAGAACAGGACAAAACCATGAGACCTAAATGAAATGGAGTTAAGTAAAATGCCTGATAATTTAAAATAGTGGTCATAAAGATACTGCCTGGACTTGAGAAAAGATCGGAGGACTTCCGTGAGATCCTCAACAAAGAGAAAGAAAACATAAAAAAGAACCAGTCGAGGATGAGGAACCCAATAACTGAAATTAAAATACACTAGAGGGAATAATAATAGACTAGGGGAAGCAGAAGAATAGATCAGCGACCTGGAGGATAGAGTAATGGAAAGGAATCAAGCTGAATAGGACAAAGAAAAAAATTTCACAAGAAAGAAAATGAGAAGAGACTAATGGAATTCAGTGACCCCCACCAAGTGTAATAATATGCACATTATAGGGATCCCAGAAGGAGAAGAGAGAAAAAAGGAAGCTGAAAATTTGAAGAAATAGCTGAAAATTCCCCTAATCTGGAGAAACAGATTTCCAGATCTGGGAGACAGAGACACCCTCCAACAAAATCAATCCAAGGAGGTCCACACAAAGGCACATAGTAATTAAAATGGCAAAAAGTAGTGATAAAGAGAAGATTAAAGGTAGCAAGAGAAAAGAAAACTTTAAGGCG